GGCGACGACGTTTAACGATCGAGAATCTAGTAGAAATCGACATATTTCTAAACCGAGGGCATTCAAAAAGTTGATGGACGTGTTGCGGACAGAGAATACAATCCTTTTTTTGGGGCGACTTTAAATTATTTGACGTATCCGATTTAGTCAAATGTGTTTGGACCCTTTTTACGCTAGATTTGGGTGCCTGTTCACTTCCTCTCATATCATGGAGGCACATTAGAGTTCTAATTCTCTCAGTTAGGAAGCTATCTAAATCTTTCCAAAGTGAAATAGCTGCTTTGTCCCTAACGCTTTGCTCCCACAAGGTTTGAGTAATTTTGGGTAGCCGTTGAAGACATAAGAACACTAAAAATGGGTCCCAATTTTCTGTTGGGATGTCATAGATAGACATCGCTGACAAACAACCATTAATTCCTCTTTGGATAATTTTAAGACCCGAAGTGGATTCAATTTGAAGTACCGGCAGAGCAAACAGGGTTTTCAATTGATTGTGGACAAGTAAACGCGGATTATCATACGTGTCTTTCAACGCATTCCACGCTGGACCGAAACTACGGTGCGTTAAAGGAAATTTCGACACAATTTCCCGAGCTTCTCCACTGGTTTTGCGCACTAAATGGCAAAGACGCTCAATATCGCTCAAACGCGTATTATTTATATAAACCGTGCTGAAAAGGTCTCTAAATGTAGGCCATGACTGAAAATCTCCTTCGAAAATATCGGTATCACATGGAGGTAATGTTAGACTATGTACACTGTCTAAATTTGGGGGAATTGTGAAGGTCTGAGGAGTACTAGGATCTTCAATACGCAATATTGGAGAGCTAGTAGCTGAATTAACCACCTCCGGATGAGTGTGGGGAGAAGACCTCGATTTTCCTACCGCTACATCTGATGGCTGCGCTTCCCTAGGAATATCACAGTGATGCTGCGTTAGAGAAGCTACTGAACTACTACGAGAGGAGTTCAACAATTGTTGTTCGCCCTTCAATTCTGACAGCTTACAATTCAAGTTCGATAAACAATCCATATATTTTTGGTACACTACCTCAAATTTCCGATCCGCCGACTCGAGAGTTTCCTTAGTCGTCTCTTCAGACGTTTCCAAATAGAGAATACACGTTCTATACTTATCCTCTGTTTCTTTCCAAACTTTTCCTAGTTCGGCGCTACGGACTTCCAGAGCAAAAATATTTATATCTTCGGGTTTCATTGCCCGGATATATTCAACAAATTTGACAAAAGAGTCAGAAACTCTGATAAAACTATCCAAAGGAGTAAACATCTTGGAGTCTTAAATGCAAAAACCGCTCAACAATCAAAAAGGATTACGAAAAATTTCCAAATGTAATGATTTTCTCAATCGAGAACGAAAATAACAAAAATTTAATGATTTTCTCAACAAAGGACTCGAATAATTGAGAAAATGCCAATCTGATTTCGATTATTAACCAATCGATCCAAATTATTCCAAAGAAACACCAACTTCTTTAAGGAAAATACCAAAATCGAAATAAAAATTAAAAAATTGAACAATTTTTCCAATATTTGAATAAAATTCCAAAAAAATGTCCAACAAGTTTTAAAAAAACCGACGATCTTACCACAATTTCCAATGAGAATTAGCTCAAATTAGCTAAAACAATCCAAATATCCGAAATAATATTTGAAAACCGATAAAAATTGTTCGAAAAACCAACCAAAATTGTTTATATGACAAATAAAATCCAAAAAATGACGAAAATGTTCCAAAATTTTCCAAAGATTCTATCAAAAACTCACAAAAGTTGAATTGAAATCCAAAAAATAGAAAATAATTGTCGATAAATGCCAAAAATCTTACGATAATATCAAAATTGTAGCCAAGAAACTACACGAATAAGCTTAATTTTCAAGATTAATGAACGAAATATCGACAAAATTTCGAAAAAGGTTTAAAAAATGTATAAATTTTCCACTCAATTTAAAAAATTAAATGAAAATAAATGTTTTATAAATATATAACAAGGTGAATAATATCAAAATTATATTATTTTTAATTAAATTCAATATAAATAATACGAAAAATTATTATTTATATGAATTTCAACCAATGCGGACTGTAGGGTGTATTGCGTTATTATTATACACAACTATATTTCAAATAGTCATACACACACTACTAATTCAATAAACAAAAAATTTCAACTTTGTACCAAACGTGTTAACTAACCACACTCGACCGACCCGATGTGTGTAGCGTACACGTAACAAAGAAGAAACAAAAGAAAACAACTCAACAAGGCGAGCGACGGCTGCCTAACAAATGGTATGTATGTGTATAGCGTGTGTGTATGGTTAAACGATAGGCTAGTGGCTGACCGTACGTATGTCAACCAACGTAACAATGTAAGTATAATTGTGTATGGTGACAACCAACGTAACAACCAGCGTAGTATGTAATATAATTGTGTATTGTCGATCAGTGGAAAAAGAAATAAACGAAAATATTTTTGCGTTTGGTTATTATTTTTTTCTTGCTATTCTAATAGAATGCAACCAAATATTAGAGTGAGTGGGGGTGTTTCAAATTATTGTTATTTATTTTGAAAATAATTTAATAATTTCAATTAATAAAACAAATTGTTTTTTAAAAACTTTTAATAGAAAAATTATTAAATATTAATCACTCACTTTTCAGAATAAAACCACAAATTAAATACGAAAATTTTAACAATTTTTTTTTTCCTTTTTTCACTGATCGCGATTAGTCCGTCCGCGACTAATATACGACAGACGGAGAGACAAACGAAACGACAAAACGTTGTAAAGCGGCCGTTGTATTTTTTGTTGCAAATAGGCCGTCGAATTTGTTTATGTTTTGGTTGTTATTATTATGTTTGTTATTATTTTTTTTTTTCGCGAGCTCACACAGAAAATAAAAAAAACACTGCACTGACCTACCTGCTTTTGTTGATGAAGATGATATTGATGGTGATTATGTGTAGGGATGATGAGGTATGGGATGGTGATGTGGTGTTGTTGTTTTTGTTATTCTGCTGTTGAAAAATGCAAACAAGAAAAAAACCAATTAGAACTTCGCTTCCAAAAACTCGTCTCCGGTTCGAATGGACCAAAATGTTGACGCCGAAATTGCGTGCAAAATAGAAGAAATAAAAACACGAACGTTTTTAGATTTAAATTAAAATAAAGGCAGTTGCTTTATTGATAAAAAAATAGAAGAGTGGAAAAATTTAGAGATTGTGACAGATTACCTGTTGTTTGGTAGGCCAACGAAAAGAGAGTTTTTGAGTGTCAACAATAATAAAGGAAGGTGGCGTCGGCGCTAATTCCATACTCGTTAGAATCTCCCATTTGACATTTCAATGTTGTAATATTACGGAGTATGAAGATTGTAACGAATATGGAATTCAATGCGTTTTGAAACACAATAGAAGTGTAAACGCCCAAGAGAATGAAATCAATAGATTTTCTAAATTAAACACATATCTAAGTCATTAAATAATATTTATTGGTTAACCATTATATGAATTTAAATTTCGATATATCTTTATTTTAATTGTATTGGTGTTGCTTTATATATTTTTTGAAAATGCTATAACACAACTGTTCCACAATAATCTGTTATAAATAAAAAGTTCGCCGTTAATCTGATTAAATTTTTTTGGCGGAATTAAATGACTTTCATAGGTCTCCATGTTACGACGGAGAAGAAAATATGTTATTCTATGCCCTGTTCAAAAAAATAGATTTTTTAGACTTTTTAGAAAACTATCAATAAATCTTATGCGACTTTGCAGAGGTCTTCTTTGTGCACGGGACACAGGATGCTGAGGTTCCAATCATTGAGCATGCATTCCTCTAGCCAAATTGTACTAATGAGCTGGTGCATGCTCCACACCAGCATTTTACCACCAGTTTTGAACAGATCAGCGCCTGCTACTTTATTATTCTTCAGCCGATTGATTGCTACTCTGAACTCATCTTGACTAGGTGGTATGCAATCTATACCGTCATATCTTATTGGTTCTGGGGTATCTTCTTCTTCATACGCTGTGTTCTTCACCTCAGTAACATAACGAAACTCCTGATCGTACCATGGGTTTCTTGATGGTGGTCTTTGGTAACCAACTGCAAGTGCAGTTTGTAGGGAGTTATTATCGGGACAAGAAGTGCTTTCAGTCGTTTGTAGTTGGTGGATAAATGACGTACATAGTTCCCAAAGCTTTTTTCCTGGGGACCAGAAAACTTAGACAATTCTTCCGAGGACTGCCCCGTATGTGGAGTTTAGAAAAGGTTTGGATAATGCAGACTGATACCAATTTTCTAATTTGCATTCGACGTTGTTTTTGATCGAGACGGAAATTCCATGTCCCATTTTTTTAAATAAAAATTTTATTAAACATCTTACATTTCGGCCCATTATTACCATAATTCGAATTTTTCAATAAAAAATCTATATTGGATAAGAAATATTTTCGGGAAACAATTTGAAAAAATTTCTATAAAATATCCATTAATTTTTGTGTAGCAGTTGTGTGTGTGTGTCATTGATTTTATTTAAAAGCAACCTACGGTCAGATTAGATAAATATTTAGCATAGTACGAAATTAAATGAATGCTCTACTCAATATATTTCACAAACATTAAATTATTTGCACAATAACAAATTTTCAAATAAATGTTTGTAAACATATCCAAATCTAATATGACCGTACTTTGGTATTATTAATTTATATATTTCTTTTAAGTTAGTATTTACTTACACTTTTCCATTATTTTTTTTTTTTTTTTGAATACAATTTTATTTTTGTGTGTTGTATTTTCTTCATATATCATTTGTTATTTATATTATTGTGTTTTCTCTCTCTTCTTTCTTTCCATTAAAAACAAACAAAAAAATAAACATCTCTACACATTATCGTAATTTGTGTGTTTACTCCTCTACTCTTCCTCTGCATTTGCATCAACTTATATATTATCTATATATAAAATAAATATATAATTGGTAAAACAAAAAATATTAGCATGATAGAACCATGTCCAGGCTGTGCTGCACCCTATGGTTATAAAAATGCCATGCCACTAAGCAGGGACACCTATCGGTTCTCAGTAAGTTATATGTTGTTGTTGTCGTAGTTATTATGCATTTGAATTTGCTCGTTTTTTTTTAAATTATTGGTTTGCTTGAATTTAAAATTGCTTTTTGAAAAAAAATTGCATGTTTTTAATGTTTTATTTGAATTGGCTTGGTTTGTTTTAACTATTTTTTTATTATATTGGCTGTCTTATTGTTTGCATGAGCATGTTTTGTTTAACTATTTTTGCATGTTATTGTTTTCCTTTTTTCTTCTTCTAACAACACACATTCTAATCATTGTTTTCCTTTTTTTATTTTATTTAATATTGTTTTTTATTTATTATAATAACAAGGTGCAGTAGTTTCATAACAAATACTTCAAAGTGAGGTTATAACGGAATATAACAAATTAAAAAAAAGAGAAATAAATATTTGATTATTAATTCATATACAGTTAAAATCCAAGGAAAATGCCAAATAAAAAGAGTTATTGTATGGATACCCCTTTTTATATTGGTTATTTATTTAAGCGTACTTCTTTCGATACTATTGATTGTATTCTGGAGTCTATGATTGTGGTCAAAAGAACACCCTATATTTTAAATGAGCTGGGAGTATTTTTTTAAATGCGCTGCTGCACCTTGTTGTTTAAGGGTACACTCTTGTGAAGTCTTTTTTTTTAACAGATAATAATAATTTTTGGCTTTACTAAATTATTTTAATTTTCTTTTCATTTATTTATCTTTCATAAAATCTGAATCCTCAGGGCGATACATAATAATTTTTATTTACACTCAACCATACATAATTTGCTGTTATGTATGTTTGTAGTTCATTCAGTTATGTGTTTACTTATCAACCGGTCATTGGGTCCGATAAGCTTTGAAAGTATTTCACAAACTTCTTGATGATAGGGCAATACATTGAAAATAGGTTTAAAAAACTATTGATAGCAAAAACCCTATGATGAATGACTTGAGGAGTGGGTAATATGACACATTGCCCTTGGGAAATGCAAATGGGTCGAATTACATTCATTTGAAAATAGAAAATTGCTCACGATAAAATAAAGAACGTAAATTTAACATCTAGGATAGGATAAAATGGAATTGAAAATAGTAAAAATAAAAATGTAAAACACCAAAACGACGTTTTTCGTGCGGACAAGAGAGAAAGTGAGACAGGGGAAAGAACAAGAAAAACATGAGTGTGAGCAAATCGAGATATACAGGAGTCAGAATGAAGTCAGAAAATTTTTTCACCGAGTAAAACACCAATACGACGTTTTTGGTGCGGGCACATCCTCCTGTAGGTATGAAGAAGAAAACCTGCCGACAAATACAGACAGCGTGATGAGGATATGGAAGGAAGATACCCCAGAACCATTTATAGATGAAGGTATAGATGTATACAACCTAGCCAGAATGAAGTCCCGAAATTTTACCAACGAGTATAGCGGCAAACCGAAGGCTTTGGAGCGGCCACATCCTCCTGTAGGAATGAAGAAGAAAATCTAGCGACAGATACAGACAGCGTGTTGAGGATCTGGAAGGGGCATTTTGTACAGTTTTTGGTATCAAATAATAACGGCGAAGAAGATACCCAGAACCAATAAGAAATGATAGATTGTATACCATCTAGCCAAGATGATGTCAGAATACCAATTGATCGGCTGAAGAATACCACGATACTAATAACATCAGCTTTGAAATCCGGAGAATAGTGTTGGGTACTTGCGCAAGCGGATGAGGCATCTCTTGGAGTGCTTAAGAGAAAATTTCTCCGAAAAATCTATGGGCAGATATGCGTCGACGGTGAATATCGCCGTCGAATGAATCATGAGCTGTACCCTATCTTCTAGTCAGTCGTATCGAGCTACAGCGACTACGTTGGTTAGTTCATGTTGTGAGAATGGATGAGGATGCCCCAGCTCAAAAGGCATATAAAATCCAACCAACAGATGGTTCACGCAGAAGGTGAAGCTCACGAATACGATGGAAAGATCAAGTGTAGGACAACATTTCGGAACATGGTCTTTCAAATTAGATGAGCTGCGGGCAAGACCGACGAACCTGGAAATATTTTTTTTTTAATTTGTTCGGCTTAAAAAATTATACTTTTCGCTCAACGAACCGAAAAAGTATCATTTTTGAAGGACTTCGGAATAAAAACAGTGAAATAGTCGACTTTATGATAATATTGACTACCGACCTTAAACAAATGGGAATTTTATTACCGGTCTTAAACAACCCCTAAATATGGAGTGTGACGTTCGAACAGAACTGTGTTTATAGCTTGGTGCCTCAAAAAGTTTCACAGGCTTAGTTTGTGCATGGTCGAACCAAAAAGATCCACTATATTTCTATATGCCCGTGGTCCGTTCTGACTGAGAATCTGCATCAATAAATTCGTATCTACCGAATATGTCCATTGAAATGTCCATGCAGCTCTCCTAATTTTGTCACAAATATAATGACAGGTTTTTCCAACTAGAACTGGGGTAATCGTATACATTCCCTCTACCTAATGTATTGCCTTGAGGGTTTCGAATAAATTGATTTTATAAAACCCATAATTTTCCAAATTAAAACCTTATTTAAAGGCATAATTACTACCCATTTAAAAAATTTTATTTTTATAACCTAAAAATTAATATTTTTTGCTTTGAAAAATTTCTAAATTTAACAAATTTTAATTTGCAAAACAAGAGTGTACCTTCCAACCTAATGTTCCTTTTAATCCCTCTAATGTATACACTTTTCTTATATTCAAAATTAATAACCTAAAATTTCTCTTTTACAAATAATCATCTTCACCTCTTTAGACTGAAGTAAAGAAAGCTGCTGTTTCTGGTAATTTGGATGCTCCCGAAGGTGGTTTTGATGCCATTATGCAGGCCATAGCTTGTCGTCAACAAATCGGTTGGCGTGAACAGGCTCGTCGTTTGTTGGTCTTTTCAACAGATGCTGGTTTCCATTATGCTGGTGATGGCAAGGTAAGACTTTGGAACACCCCCTAATATTACAGCTATAGTAAATTCCTCCTTGAGGATGGAAAGTTATACTATATCATCTCAAATTTTTTGAAATTTTGACTAATAAAATATCTAATTTTCCTTTATTTTTAGCTTGGTGGCGTTATTACACCCAACGATGGTGAATGCCATTTGAACTCCGCTGGTCTCTATACCCATTCGGTTATACAGGATTATCCCAGTATTTCACAAATCAATCACAAGGTCAAACAAAATTCCATTAACATCATTTTCGCCGTTACCCAAAATCAACATTCGGTATATCAGAAATTATCTCAACACATTGAGGGTTCTTCCAGTGCTGTGCTATCCAATGATTCTTCCAACGTTGTCGATTTGGTTAGAGAGGAATACAGCGTAAGTTTTTCTTGCCTTCACCTCCCTAAAGTTTCTTTAAAATTTATAATAATATTTATTAAATATCTTATTTTTTTCTTACAGAAAATCTCTTCTTCCATTGAAATGAAAGACAATGCCACCAGCCACGTAAAGATCACCTATCACTCGACCTGTTTGAATGGTGACACCGAATTGCCCACCTCGAAATGTGATGGCTTGAAAGTTGGTGATATTGTCACCTTCAATGCGAAAATTATGGTAACCTCTTGCCCTGCTGATCCTGCTGAATGGAATCAAGTAATCCAAATCTATCCTGTCGGTATTAATGAAAGTTTAATTGTCAACTTGGAAATGTTGTGCTCATGTGATTGTGAAAAGCCCGGTTCAATTGGTTATGAATTGAATTCACCACAATGTAATAATCATGGTAAATTGATGTGCGGCATTTGTGATTGTGATGATATGCACTTTGGTCATTCGTGTGAATGTTCGAACAATGAAATTCATCCGGAGAAAATCAATGATTATGGTTGTCGTGCTGATAACACCTCGGCTGTGGATTGTAGCGGACGTGGTACATGTTTGTGTGGTGTATGTGATTGTGAAAAACGTGCTAATCCTGAGGAAGTGATTTCGGGACGTTTCTGTGAATGTGATAACTTTTCGTGTGAACGTCACGAGCAGCAATTGTGTTCGGGTCCCGACCATGGTACATGTGAATGCGGTCAGTGTATCTGCAAACCTGGATGGTCGGGCAGTGGTTGCAATTGTAAGACATCGAATGAAAGTTGTTATCCTCCCGGTGGTGGTGAAATTTGTTCCGGACGTGGTGAATGTGTATGCGGTAAATGCGAGTAAGTAGCAGATATTTTAATCATCGGAAATTATATTTGAGATGACCTAGCATTTTGTATAAAAATGCTTGAAGATTGAAGTTACTTTTAGAAGAAGGGTTGATGGTCTTCCGAAGGGCATAATGGATAATAACTTTTATACTTCTGTGAGAAGATTTTTGACATTCTTTAAATACAATTTGATGGGGAGATTTTCTATAAAGAGGCCTATTGATTTTTGACCATCTATATAATGACTTTTTGGCTTTTGTGAGTAGAACTTTTGGTCTTCTTTGTAAAGACTTTTTGGTTTTCTCTTGGTATTCTTGAAGAAGATAATTTGAGTTTTGAGAAAAACTATTTGTCCTTTGCGAGAAGAACTCTCTTTGAAAATATCTCTTGGCCTCTTGGCAGATCTTCGGTCTTTTACAAAAATGTCTTATTACTGTGAGAACTTGTAGTTTTCTATGAGAAGACCATTTGATGTTAAATTACCTTAAGCTATTCTATGAAAAAGAATGCCTTAAGTTATTCTATGAAAAATAATGCCTTAAGCTCTTCTATGAAAATGAAGACCTTCAACTCTTCTATGAAAAAGAAGACCTTCAGCTCTTCTATGAAGAAGACCTTCAGCAATTCTATGAAGAAGAAGAAAACCTTCAGCTCTTCTGTGAAGAAGAAGACTTTCAGCTCTTCTATAAAGAAGACGACCTTCAGCTCTTCTATGAAGAAGAAGACCTTCAGCTCTTTTATGAAGAAGAAGACCTTCAGCTCTTTTATGAAGAAGAAGACCTTCAGCTCTTTTATGAAGAAGAAGACCTTCAGCTCTTCTGTGAAGAAGAAGACCTTCAGCTCTTCTATGAAGAAGAAGTAAACCTTAAGCTCTTCTGTGAAGAAGACCTTCAGCTCTTCTATAAAGAAGACGACCTTCTGCTCTTCTATGAAGAAGAAGACCTTCAGCTCTACTATGAAGAAGAAGACCTTCAGCTCTACTATGAAGAAGACCTTCAGCTCTTCAATGAAGAATAAGACCTCCAACCTCTTCTGTGTGTTTCATCTCTTCTCAAAAGAAAAAATCTCCAACCCTTCCATAAAAAAGACCTATTGGTATTCTGCTCTATTTCAATTTTCTAATTCTCCCTTTCTCTCTCGCTTTTTCTTTTCAGATGTCAATCGACTAGTGAAGGACGCTATTCCGGTGATCATTGTGAATATTGTCCCACATGTACTGGTCGTTGTCATGAACTTAAAGATTGTACCCAATGTCAAGTATATCGTACCGGCCCGCTAAAGGATGAAGAGGATTGTCGTACCAACTGTACCCTATTTACACCGATTGAAGTTGAAAAAGTCGAAATTGATGAAACGAAAAATGAATATTTGTGTATCTTCTATGATGAATACGATTGTAAATTCAAATTCAAGTATCGTGAAGAGGATAACAAAATTATTGTCACAGCTCAGACTGAACGTGAATGTCCACCTAAAGTTTTCATGTTGGGTATTGTGTTGGGTGTTATTGCTGCCATTGTGTTGGTTGGTTTGGCCATTTTGCTGCTGTGGAAATTGTTGACGACAATTCATGATCGTCGTGAATTTGCTAGATTTGAAAAGGAACGCAGTATGGCTAAATGGGATGCGGTGAGTAGAAATGATTTGAAATTCTTCTTATTTGAATTGTTAATAATAAAAATTTCCTTTGTATTTTTTAGGGTGAAAATCCAATTTACAAACAAGCCACCTCCACCTTCAAGAATCCCATGTATGCTGGCAAATAAATTGAGGGAAGAATTGTGTGGTGATTATTGCCGATCACTTTTAAAATATAGTAGTTAACAGCATTGGAGGAAAGAAACTAAACTTAGGAACACCGAATATGCCATATATAGTAAAAATCCCAACAATGTTTTTTTCTTCTACACTTCGAAAACCAAATCTTGAATGTCTTTGTCTAAAATTTTCTTTTCTTTTTTGGATCTTTAAATGATTAACATAATGTCTTCGTCTCTTCTCCCCTAACTGCCATTACTAAGTCGAACTTAATTTTATATTCTAAAAAAAAAACAAAAGTGTGTATCTTCATGCCCTCCTTTTTTTGTATGTCTATTTTTTTTCATCTATAGGTCCATATAACCAAACAATATTATATTCTTGACAAAGTACTAAAATATGTGCCTCAAAAAACAAACAACTTTTTTACATACAAATATATTTTGTACTTTTTTTAAATAGAAACAAACTGTAACAAAAAATCGAAATCGAAAAACGGTTTTTTTATTTCTAGTTTTTAAGAAAGAAAAAAATCAAATAACTTACAACTTAAGTCAAACAAACATAAATGTATTGAACACACAAAATCAAATAATTGTCTTTAGACTAAAATGCAATTAAAACTTAAAATTCTTTTTGTATAAGATATACACCCAAATCCCCATATCCCAAAAATAAAATTTAAATTAAAAAAATAAATAAAAACGCAACATCTATGCAATATTAAGCCAAAATACACAATAATAATTTTTTGTATTATTTACCATAACAAACACAACAAAAAACACACATTTATTAATATTAATTTTGTAACAAAAAATATTTTCTTTTATTTATTTAGTGTCTCCTAGTTTCGTATTATCTATCTAACCATTGGTGTCTTTATTCTAAAATTTGTTTATGTGTTTTTTTTATTCTGTGTAATTTGTATTCGTTTATTATTATTTTTTTGTTTAATTTCATAGTGTTCTCTACTTAAGCATAAGTTTTAATTTTTTTATATAACATTTAAGATTTTTTATTTTATTTTCATTTGTATGATTTTTAATATTATTTAATGAAAAACAAAAATATATGAAAATATCTCAGTATGTAGTTGAACTGATTAATATTAACATGATTAAATGTTGAATACACCCCAAAAATAAAGCCTTTGTTTTTTTAATAAAATGTATTTTGAAAGACCTCTTCTCAATCATAACCTTCGAGTTAGGGGGATGGATGATAAGATATCTTGGGCAACTTCAACCAGTATAAAACAGACAGTTTCTAGATCGTCCAGTCTGCAGACAACCTTCTTCCGATAAACAAATGGATCAGCTACCAACTCTTTTGCCTTAAAACCCAGAACCGGGGTGAACAGAGAAACATTTGTTTTTTAATTCAAAATCGTCAATAATCCATCCTTTCAGACGAAGAAGACCTTCAGCTCTTCTATGAAGAAGAAGAAGACCTTCAGCTCTTCTATGAAGAAGAAGACCTTCAGCTCTTCTATGAAGAAGAAGACCTTCAGCTCTTCTATGAAGAAGACCCATGTATTGTTTCCTTTTTCATATTTCGAAATTCCCCTATGAACAATAAAAAAAAATACTTTTAAAAGTTTCTATGTTTTTTTATTTGTTTTTCTCAAAAAGTAATGAACTCGATTGTTGTAACAAAAAAATAAAAATCTCTCATTCGGAAGAACTATATATATACGAGAGATGCACACAATAATTATACAATTACTTGGATTTTATATCATTTTAAAGAAATGATGGCGTGTTTGTTTCTTTTTTTTATAAACTAACAGCAAATCATTCAAGGTTTGAGTATCAGGCAATTATCCTCAAGCCGCACAACTTGATCAAATGCATGCATCATATTACGCCCCTTGAAAGTCCATTGAAAGAGGAGAAGGAGGAGTTGTAGTCTCATCAACTGGATAACAAAACCCGGAGACTCACTCACTCTTTACTGGTCTGTTCTGTTCTGGAAGCAACATAAATCCATTTTATAGATTTAGAGAAAGAGTAACTGTCGTCGTTGTCCTTTAATCGCACACACACATAATAATAAACACATCTAGGTCGGTTGGTCCGGTGCCGCCATTTCAATGGAATATCGAATCAACATCTGGTGCACCTTTTTGATGTTTAAATTTCGGTTTGCTGGGACGGGTATAGAGATTGGTTTGGCTGCTACGCTGTGATTGCATTAAGGATTCTTGATAATCTTCCTCCTCGATACGTTCGGTAATGTTGAGGGTTAAACGTTTCACTTTTTCCTTTTCTTCGCGTATTTTCTCCTCTTGTAGTTTTAAATTTATGGCCAGCTGAGAATCGGAGGGTGCAACAAATTGTTTAAATTGTTGTTTGCCACCCTTACCACCGCGTACCATGAGCACGAAATTAATGGGACCACTGGGAGGATTTTTGGAGTCAATGGAGGATGTGCCAGCCGATGATGATGATGACGGCGCTGCATTAGTGGCTGCCGCTGCTGCTGCATTTGCCGCGGAAGTTATTTGTTCATAGGATTTTTTATTATTTCGTACCATCATAGGTACAGGTATATCTTTTGTATTTGGTTTGACAATTTCCTTAAGACGTTCTTGATATGAATCTTGAGCCATTTTTTCAAACATTTGTTCAAATTCTAAATCTTCTTTCGTTTTTTCGGGAATTTTAGGTATTTCGGGGACAACATCATCATCTTGCATACCTTCATTTTCGGTCCAGTCAGTGGTGTTTGCTTGATTACCCGCATATTCGTCATCTTGGCATTCATCACGTGGCCGTCGATCCATTTCAGAGGATGAGTCATCACTGGCCTTCAGAGGGAAAAATGGCATTAATAATAAAAATAAATAAAAATATGAAGATACCAAATTACTGCCAATTCCGAAGACATTTTCAAAAAAAAAAAAACGAAATCTTGGATTTTTAAATAATAGCATTTGCGCCATAAGGGCGAATTATTAACATTTATTCAAGGATCATACTGAGCCATAAGGGCGAATTATTAACATTTATTCAAGGATCATACGACCCATTGGCCTGTATTTTTACGAATATTTTTTCAAGGATCATCTGAGCCATATGCGTGGATCGTCTGACACATAAACATCGATTTTTTTAAGAACATTTTTTATATAGGATTTTCTGAGCCATAAGCGTGGATTTTGGACGAATAATTTTTCAAGGTCATATATGATGCCATAATCATAACATTTTAAAGAATATTTTTTCTTGGTTCATCTATGTCATAATCATGGATTTTTTAAAGAATATTTTTTCTAGGATCATCTGAGACATAAACGAGTATTTTTTTATGAATATTTTTTCTGAGTCAGACCCCTGGATTTTTATGATTTTTTTCTAGGATCATCTGAGTCATAAGCATGGTTTTTTAATTGTATAAAAATACTAGCGCTGCCACAAACTATGCTAATTAATAACGATCTATTTCAATTCGTTTAGAGGTTTCATAAAAGAATAAAAAAATTGCTTGCCACTTACCCCATCATCAAATTCACTATCCTCCGGTATGGGTTGTAAATTATTTGCTTCATCTGCATCTTGCTGCTGTTGTTGTTGCGCTGTCAATTCCTTAAGCTGGGGATATAGTTTTTCTCTCAGCTTTTCAATGGCTTCCTTTGCCTGTTCCAAATTCTTGAATAATTTTAATTTCGGTCGGACATTGGCCAAACAATCACGATACATATGATCGACAAGTATGGGAAACAAATCGTGGGTATCCTGGACTCTGCTGAAAATCGGATTTGATTTCTTATACCAATAATAGTGTTGGAAGAAAATCAAAAAATAATCCAATCTGTAAAAAAATATAAAACAATTAGATTTTGTTAAAATTTTAAAAATTAAATGATTACTTACTTTTGTTTACTTGTTGAACTGGTAAAATAGGGACCACATGTATCCAATAGAACACAAGCCAATTTCAAACGAAACAAACTATCTGGAGGATCTAGGGGTGAAATAACACCCTCCTCGGTGGAAACTCCCAATGAAATTATCGAATAGAGAGTATTTAAAATATTTGTAGATTCAACCAATTTATAATTGTAAAGTTCCCCCAAATATTTAGCCATGGCAATGCGACGTTGAGCCAATTTTGGTGAATGGATTTCCAGCCCTGCACGAATATCTTCAAAGACATTGTCAATGACCATGGTAACAGCACGTTCTTGATATGAACTCAAACCCGAAAGCAAATCCGCCAGACAACGAATTAGAGGGAAACGTAATAGATATGCTTTGGACAGACATTTGATTACATAACTGCTCACCGTTGGATCATTCCAGTTGATACGCCTCAATATTTTAATCGAACGTTCTACATTTTGTTTATTCAATTCCTCGAATATTAAATGACGTATATACTCATGAATGGGTGGCCGTAAAACAATATCCTGTTTCACTGCCTCTGGTGGTTTAACTAAATAATAGACATTTTCCACTTGGGCAGCATGCCTTGAATCTAAGGCTGTGGCAGTTTTTAAACGCATCATTTGATCGAGGAAGGTATTCATCAGCCACCGGGTATCTTTACAATTGTATAAATAAACACCGGCCACTTCGATAAAAGCACAGGCCATTTCAATTTGATGATGTTGAAAATCACGTAGTAAAATTTTCAAACAACTCAAAGCATCGAATTTTTTGAGTAAACCAAATTTAACCATTTCACCCATAAAACGTACAACTTTAATTTTCGATTCAATGTTCAATTGGTTTTTCATGCGTATATGCCATTTGAATTCTTTGCGAAGCAACTCCCATAAATCCAATGCCACATCGGTATTACAGAGATTGATAATGGCCACAAATCGTGAAAGGAATGGCAACAAATCCAAACGATTTCTGTAAGGAAAAGAATAAAACAACAATTAATATTTTTACCGGCCTATTCAAGGATCGCCTAAGCAATTAAAAAAAATTTTTATTTAATAAAAGTTTTTGTGGATCTGAATCATATCCGGTTTTTAAAGAATATTTTTCAAGGACCATCCGTGACATATGTGTGGATTTTTTAAAGACTATTTTTTCTAGGATAGTAGAAGTCATAAGCTTGGATCTTTTAAAGACTTTTTCTAGGAGACTATTCCGTTCTTTAGACTATTTTTCAAGGATTGTCTGATCCATAAGTTTGTATTTGTTAAAGAATATATTTTCAAGGATCGCCTAAGCCATAAAGGCGGATTCTTCAAACTATTTTTCATGAACTTCTATAGTTTACATTTTCTATCAACTTACCTATGTACACCAAAAATGGACTTCGTCAATTTCTTGCGATTATTTTTCGTATTATAGTTAAGTAGAAATTCAATGGCCGCCGAATCGATTAACTCTTTGTTAACACAATTATTAAGATTTTTTAAGAATTGGGCAAATTGTTGTTTTATTGAACCAGCCGATTGATTATTCATACGACCAGCTTCCATCAAGGCATTACCAATTTTATCCGGTAAAACACCAACATCATCATCTTTATCATCCTTATCATTGGCAGGATCAGATGTTGTCGATGGAGGATCATCCAAATCCATATCATTGTCAATTTCAGCATCTAACGCTTCCTCAGTCATTAGTGAGGTGTCTTCAATTTGTGCTGGATCAATTTTCGGTGCAGAAAAATTTGGCAAAAATTGCCTTAAATCTGGTAAATCAACATAAAAACTTTTTGTTTCTTCATCACCCCATGGATCTAATTCGCCAAGTGCCGCTTCATCCATCATATTTTCAATGACCGCATCAGGATTGCAAGGTTCAATTTCTTTGGCCAATTCGGGTAAGGGTTCATCCAGTAAATCGGAAAGTGTTTGGGCCGATGAGAGTAATTTGTCGAAATTCGCCTGCATTAGTTCACATTTTTCCTTTGTTTTGGTGGAAATTTCACCTGAAATCAAGAATAAAAAACATTATACAAAATTTTGTTCAATTGGATTTAATTTTGTACCCACCTTTAGAGGCCATTGCCTTCTTCAGATTATTTGTCATATTCATTAATTCCGCCTGTTCCGAAAGTAAATATTTACACAAATACTTAAAGTAATCCTTTAGAAGATTCCTCAAATTCTGCTGCTTATCGGGAGCCAGAAAATCTGATTTCGGTATGGGTTGATTACCATATTTGGCTGCCAAGTTTATCATTTTCCTGGGCACAAGTCCGGCATATTCCTCACCACAGTGGCGACAGAATGACAATATAATTGAGAAATTGCTATGATCTTCTTTATCCTGAGATATGACATTGGTCAAAACATTGCCTAACAGACCTAAACCTTGCTTGGTATTAATCACTCCCGAACTAACAAGTTCGGCAAACAGCCGTAAATCCACTCGTAGTTTACTGGCATTGCCTATTTTCTCACCCGGCCGAAGTTGTAATGTCTTCTGCCATGCCTCAAAGAATTCATTATCAAAATCTTCATAGGTTTGATGTAACTTCGAGCATAGTAACACCACAGCGGGAACATCAGTCATTTTAATTTTGGCCTCTGACAATGCTGAACATATTTCCGATATGTATTTACTCAAATTCAAACCTTTCATATCCTTCATCAAGGCATCTAATTGAGCTGCCGTAAATTGTTTTAGCTTCTTCACAAATGCCGTGTTACGCTTCAGACTGGAATCCAACTTAACAAAATAGGATTCCTCCGGAAGCTGAAAGTTAGTATTTTCATAGCGTAGCTGTGATTTTGCGGCTATTTTAGCCTTCAGCTCGGTAAGAAATGCATTCAGCTCTTCCTTCTCTTGACGTTCCACATCGGCAGCATTGTCAACAACTGGCTGTTCTGTGTCTTTGTTTTCTGCTTCTTTTTCTTCAACCATTTTATGGTTTTGCGGATATACTTCCTTCTTAGCGTCGAATCAATTTTGTGAGGATTATAACAAACATAGGATATGCAGAATAATATGCTTCAAAAATGTGTTGTGATTTTCCAGAAATGAAATAAAATGTTGTGTCCGCAAATAACTTGTTCAATTGAATGATTCAAATAAATGAACTATGTGAACTATTTATCACTCGTTCCTTTGATGTGTTTAAATCAATCATTCGATACAATTATTTATTATTTATATAAATTATTATTAATATAGTTTTTAAATGAATTAAAACAGAAATAATAATTAAAAAACGAACAAAAAATCACAATATACAATACTTAAAATGAAATCATTGCACCAATGACAATTGTTCAACACATTGCCATTATTGATCAGCTGTTTGTATGTCGATAATGCCGTAATCGGTAATTCTTATATTTTGGTGGCAATGGTATGGCAAAATGACAAGGGCTTTAAAAGGAGGGAAATTAATTGAAAACGGAAACAGGAAATAGGAAATAGTAATGAAATTAAAATAATGGATTGTGTTTGTATTTAAAGTTGTGTCTTTGGATTATAACTTAAATTAATATCATGTTTAATTAAGTAAATAAATAGCATAATTATTTTAACACATATGCATAACCCGAAGTATGGCGATAATGCAGCGGAAGGCTATGTTATGATAATTTTAAGGAAATGGGAAAGGGAAACTGGAATTGGAATTGCTCGGCCAAGCCTTTGTTTTATAAATTAATTAAAAAATGTTGAATATGCACAAAAGTAGTATCAAGGTTAAATCAATAAATTGCATGTTGTCTGTGGTTATTACCCCCTAGCAACAGACATAAAAGTAAACAAAACTTCCTATAAACATATATATTTTACATTGACATAGTCCTGATTTTTTCTAATGACAATAACAAATGGTTGTCATGTTGACCAAATAAAAAAATAAAAGTTGTATCAATAACGATCGAGTATCCGGAGGGATAACATTGTTTACTTCAAAGGAAATTCCACAACAATTTGATTAGTCTTCTATTTACGGTATAAGGGAACACATCCTTTTTATTTTTTCCCCTCGGTGGCGTGTTTGTGTAAATGATTTGCTGGCAAAATGAAGACAAGTTTCTTCAGCAACGTTATCCACCAGTGTATCCTAAAACTGAAACCTTAAAAGATTTATTATTAAAGTCAAGTGTACCCATAGTGAGTTAAAAACACACACACTCAACAAAAGGAGGAATATATTAGAACATTAATTAAAAATCAAAATAAGTTGCCGTTCCAAAAAATGAAATTTTTTAAAGATGTCTATATTGAAAATCGCCTTTTCGATCATCGTTTGGTGAAAAATGATTTAATCGATCAATGGCCAACGGAAAAAGGCAATAAATATGTGGAACGCAAGGATCATCGAAATTTAATGGAATCATATGTATTCAGTTCATTCACTAATTTCATAAAATATATACATACATATACACAAGGCACAGTAGTGGTGGAGTAAGGCACTGTAAAAATTTTGGAATTTTAATTAGATTGTGTTATTCTAAAGAATTCTTATTTTATATTAGGACTTCATTCTAACCTTGTTGAACTGTATTACTAATTTTGAAAAATTGTCATTATTTTTTATTTCAAAAATATTGGTTTTTGAAATTTGTGTATTTTTTTAATTTTATTTCTTGTCAATTCCGATAAAATAAATTCATTTTAAAATGGGTACGAAATTTGAAGAAACTGTTATGTATTCTCAATTACAGCCATGGAGCACCGCTGGCGCTCCACCGTGTATGGAACCCGTATCTGGGCCATCCGTGCCACCTCGAGTTGGAACTTCATATCAGGTTGGTTTAATTTTTTCTATAAAATAAATTAAATAAATAATTTTGTTATTTGTTGTTGCTATGTTGCATTTGTGTTTGTAGACCGCCCATCCACATCCATGGCGACCAACGTTGAGCTATGAAATGATTGAAGTGAAAAATCTTGCCGAACAACCGGTAACCAATCAATTGGTAAAGCCAACATTTGCCCCAGCCAATATGACCACGGAACCGTTGACATTTCCAAATTTAGTAACTGGGTTTCATCGAAATCCTCAACATGCAGCCCGTGCGGCATTGTATACACGTTATACACCGGGCGAATGGGCCAATAATAATTTGTCGAAATATGCAGAATCGAATATAAATCGGTAAGTGGAAGTAAGGAATTCAAAATAGAAACCAGGACAAGGGAAGTATACAGGTTGACCTCATACATAGGTCACTGATTACAAGACCAGCTGATACTCATTTGTACTGTCAAAATGCTTAAAATGTAACTCATCGAAATCTTCAAACCGGGGTAGCTAAAAGAGCATGTATATTCCTGATTGAAATCAAGATCTATTGATAAGGTCTCCAGCAAGTGAAAGTCTTCTGTTTATTCTCAATAATGGCTTTTGACAGCAAACATGAGAGGCAGCTGATCTCCCTGGATTACGTTTTTAATAGGCCTTGATTGAAATAAAATTATATGTTGATTTACGACGGTCCACCTCAATGTGTATTAATGAGGTTATCCAGGGAGACCACCTGATTTTTACCTGCCTCTCCAGTTTGCAATCAAAATGCGTTATTGTAAATGAACTTCCATTATAAAAAACTTAAACAAAGTTCAAATTATTGACATTAGACTTGAAAAAAAAACGGACTTTCGCTAGCTGGGTGACCTTATTAATAGATCTTGGTCCACGTTTTGTTATAGACCTTATTTAAGCTTTTCAATCGAACTGACTGTAATTTGGCATTTTGGGTTCCCATTGAGTTTCTACTCTAATCCCAAAAATGATTAATAAAGATTCACTTTTTAAGGCCCACGTACACTGGTCCAATAACAGTCAGTTGCTCTGGTCGGAACTTTATATTATCTCCTAGCTTTCTTTACAACATTTCCCCCTTTTTACTCGAATATTGGAAACCCCGAGGCATTGTCCTTAAAAAAGGCCACATAACCTCTTATAAAATCCATTTTCTTTTCCAGCAATCAATCGGAACGTTTGCGCAACGATGCAATACGTCTTATGCGTGAAACAGATGAGAAAACCGCCCAGGGTCAAAGAGATGCCGGTCGGCGTTTGGGCGAGCGTATAACAGATGTGACTTTTTGGCGAAATGAATTAAATACTGAGATGGAAAAGTTGGTCAGTGAATCATCGGCATTTTCCGAATTGAAACGAAAATGTGGCAAAGCAATGTTGGATTTGGAGGCACCATTGCATATCGCCCAGGAATGTCTTTATCATCGTGAAGGTCGTGCTGGTGTTGAAAAGGTGCACGATTGTGTTGAGAAAGCTTTGCTGCTGGAAATTGATAATTTGCGTAATTCTCGTGACAAACTTAAGGAGTTACATGAGAGGGTGAGATTTTTTTGTATTTGAAAGTCAAAAAGTTATGTAATATTAACTTCTATTGCAGATCACAAATCAAGCCCATGATTGTCGTGCTGCCCAACATCTTTTGGAAGAAGATGTTTCTGGTAAGGAATCGACATTGGGCATTGATTCGGTGTGCCATCAATTGAATAATTATAGCCGAGGTTTGGCTTACTACGGTGGTATTGAGAAATACGATCCTACGGTGAGCACACAGGAATCCTGGGCCGAGGCTAGCAGTCAACGTGTTAGTAGGTGAGTGGTAATCATGTTAATGGTTAAAATACTACATTAGAGAAACAGGTTACTAGAACATAAGCTATCTGAAAGATCGATAATTTGGTATAGCTGTTTATAGACATCTGATTTTTTTTTTTTTTTTTTTTGAAAAATGTGTCTTCTATTGTTTTTTTCTTTTTTCTCTTAGATCACAAGCGGAGAGAGCAAAACTCTCCCAATTACGCAGTGATGCAGAGGCCACGGTTAATGCCATAGCCACTTCTGTATGGGACCACTGGAATAATACAAACAATGCCTTTGATCGTCGTTCCCAAGAAATGGCAGAATCGAAAAATAAAATCCAATTGCATTTGCATAAAACTCAACAGGAACTATTCGATTTGGAGAAACATATCTTCCTATTGCAAAAGGCCATACAGGATAAATCGAATCCCTTGAAAGTGGCACAAACCCGTTTGGAGGCACGCTCTCATCGCCCCGGTGTTGAATTGTGCAAGTAAGTTTAAATAAATTATATATTTATAATCAACATTTAATTTTTTGAATATTCTTTGCAGAGATTATGCCCAATTACGTTTGACTCAAGAAGTCGAAGACATTAAGAGTGTGGTCAACAATTTGCATCACAAACTTCAGGAGGCCGAAGCCCAACATCAGAGTTTGTTGAAGACTCGTGCCAGTTTGGAAAGTGATTTGCGTAATAAAGTGAATGCTTTGTTTATTGATCGTGAAAAATGTATGGGTCTGAGACGTTCATTCCCCGTTGATAATATGATCAAATATTAAAATGTTGATTAATAAATTTTGTAGACTTGTGTGTCCTTTATTAAAAAAAATATATAGAGTATTTTTAATTCCGAGAGTTATTATTTTGTAATAAACAATATTTTAACCAAAGAAAAACTTTATTTGAATATGTTCCCCCAAGATCTATTAATAAGGTCACCCAGCTAGTTTTCTTAAGTCTAATGTCAAAAATGTGGAGTTTGTTTACGTTTTCGTAATGGAAGGCAATTCACAATACATTCTATCTGAAAACAAAAGCCCAATATCAAGAAAACCAAATGCAAAAATAATTTTAAATTATTCTCTACCCAAAATTCACAAAGATGGCACCCCTTTGAGACCCATATGCTCCACAATTAACTCCCCAGCTATCGATCTTTGTAAATATATGGTCAACATATTGAAGAACCTGACAAAGAATTCGCAATATAACGTAAAAGACGCAAAAGATTTTAAAACAAGAATTGAGCACATAAAGATCAACCCCGACGAAATCTTAATTTCATTTGACGTTGTATCACTTTTCCCTAGCATACCAGTAAATTTTGCTCTCAACACCATAGAAGATAAGTGGGGTAATACATCTATGACAAAAGAATTGTTCATGGAAATTCTGACGCTATGTATAAAGGACACAAGATATTTCATATATGACGACAAAATATTTAAACAAAATAAAGGTATGCCTATGGGCTCTCCAGCCTCCCCTGTCATAGCTGACATAGTTATGGAGAAATTGCTGGACTCATCAATACAGCGAATGTACACAAAACCAAAGATTTTGATATATGTTTTTTACAGTCATGAAAAAAGACGAAATAAAGGACAATTTTCTTGAACTCATTCAACTCTCAAATACAATTTACTATGGAACTTGAAAGCAACAATCAATTGCCATACCTGGATTCACTAGTGATACGAAAAGGACCCCATCTTAAGCTTGACTGGTACCAGAAACCTACAGCGTCGGGACGACTGATTAACTTTACATCTAGACATCCGAGAAGAACAATAATCAACACTGCATCCAATTTCATAAATAGAGTTTTAGACATAAGCCATCCAGACTATCACAACAAAAACATTAATATAATTAAGAAGATCCTGAAGAAAAATGATTTTCCGGACAAAACTATTGACAATCTCATGATACGAGCAAGAAAAGAAAAGACAAAGAAAACAAGCGACAACAGCGAGAAAATTTATAAAACTATGACATATACACGTGGGTTTTCAGAAAGATTAAAACATTCTAACATTTACGACAACACAAAATTTGATCTGGCATTTCAAACTACAAACACGCTGAATAATCTTTTCAGCAAATTAAAAAGTAAAATGCAAGACGAGGAGAAATCCAACGTAGTATACCGCATTAAATGTAAAAAAATATATATGCCAAAAGGTATATGTTGGCACTACTCCGAGAAAATTAAAGACAAGAATTCCGCACATAAATCGGATCAAAAAGCTCTGTACAAACCCATAGAGCAAAAAACAGCCCTTGCAACACACTGCACAAAAACAGGACATACCCCAGATTTTAATGACATAAAAATTCTAACTCAAGAAAGTAATTATCAAAAAAAGGTTTACTCTTGAGATGTTGCACATAATCAACACTCCACTTGACACTCGACTCAATTATAAAACCGACACAGACAACTGCGCTCAAATCTATAGACACACAGTAAACAAATACAAATCTGTAAGACTTTAGTTGAAGTAAGAACGTTGACTTAAAGACAACATAACTTTCTTCAAGTATGTTTATTTACATATTGTTATTGTTGTTTCAAAATCTGTTAAAATATATGTAATTGTAGTTCCCTGAGGATGATTGGAGAATCCAATCGAAATATTGGAAATAATAAATATTAAAAATCAAAATTAGAAACGATTTTTACTTTTAAAAAGCCTACAGCCGAACTAATACAACAAAGATTATTCTCTATATTCTGTTTTACAAGAATCAAAAATAATTCTGATGGCAGAATGCGTACATTTCGAATACGAAGCGATTTAAATAATTTGGACTGTATACACAAATTAGTACTGTACACATTTTTGCCCTCTTCTCTGTATTAAAAAGCTCATAACTTTATTAAAAGTTTGAATTTTTTAGATTTTTCTTGTGATATGTGTCGTTCACAATCAGGTCTTGACATAGGAATTCCAAAGAATGCATATCTACTAGCTGTATAACAAATATAAGCTCTAAAACATTTTGTTGACTGTGGGCAACATTGGGCCACAAAGGGTTAATATGTTTATATTCAAGGCGTATAAATAAGGTCATCCAGGGAGACCAGCTGGAAGCTTCCTCTCAAGTTTGCTGTCAAAATAAAAACGTAAACAAAGGTTACCCAGCTAACTTTCGCTAGCTGAGTGACCTTATAGATCTTGTTTAAATTCATTCAAAAATGGAAGAATATGCTAGAATGAAACCAAATAAACTAAAGATCTGAATCTAGTTCCAATAGTTCCTTTCCCTGAACAATTGTAATGAACTAATTCGTTTCCACAAACGACAAAGCAGATGGAACGCTTTTAATTTTTTTCTCAGACAAAAGCTGTTTGTTCATTGGGTAAGTTTTGCAAAAACATAAAAAAGCCGGTGAAATATATAATTTTATATGGAAAATACATATATTATTTAGTATTTGTGTTATTTATAGCATTCAGGTATAGCGTCAAGTTGTTTCCATAATTCACTTGAACGAAAATACGTCAAGGTAAACGAAAACATGAAAAAATCATGCATGAGATTTTTGTTGTCTTTGTTGGTGCAAGAAAAAAACACAAAATTCGCAATTTTTCGGTGCCAAAAAATTTATGATGAAAATATTGAATAGCAAGAAAGTCACAATGATTTGCACACATAATGGTGATTGAAATAGTTAAGTAAAAATTAAATTAATTTAAATGTGTTAGTTTATCTTAGGAAATGTGTTGGAAGTACCAACCCAAGTGACTCCACTTATTAATGCCCTGTGACGTGTACTTAGGGTATGTGAGAGATGTTTTACAAGTGTTTTGTTTTTGTTTTTATTTGGTCTTTTGATAGAACTATAACAAAAAGATAACGGACCACTTAATTTTCTGTATTAGCAACTTTTTTGATTGCTATCTAATACTATATGGGGAATTGAGAATTAATTGATCTGTAACATTGTATGACAAAATTTGGGACATAATTTGGTAAGATCGATTTCAAATAATAAAATAAAAAATGTTAATTATCATGGAATTTTTTAGAACTGTTAGTCTAATAACACAGACCAATTAACGCAGCAACCAAATTGAACATCTCTGCCTAAGTTGACTATAAGGGCTAGATCCGCATCGTTAGATCTTAAAATGTCCAAAATTTCCGGGATGTAGGCTCCGAATCTCTTGGATAAGGATTGTTATTCAGTAAAATGAGCTATACTTCCATGAAAGATAGTCCAAATATCTTATATAAATTAAAATTTAGAGCTAATTTCGGATCGATCTAAAATTTTATACCACCGAAAGGCCTTGAAATGCTGATTACGATTTGTTATGTCTGGTATGCCTATAATTCTCAGGATATAGAAAATATGTTAGACATCCTCATCTGCTCCCTACACTGTGATACAGGGTATTATGTATTTGTCCATAATGTTTGTATCAACCAAAAAGAAATGAGACAGATCCATGATTATCTTTGAGAATATGAATAGAAACACATTCTGAGTCAATTTATGCATATTCGCCTGTCTGTCCATGTTAATTTTTAAACAAAGTATGGGTCGCATTCAATATCCAAATCGGATGAAATTTGGCACATCATTTATTTGACTCAAGGAAATCAGTTCAAATTTATATATAGTTCCCATATGTATTTTCGTCCGATTTTATGTAAATGGTGCACCAAACTTTCAGGATACGTTCGATAGAGACAAATTTTTACACAACGTGCTGCATTAAGTATAGATTGTTGTGTGCGAAGTTTTGTTGAAATCGATTCCGATTTAGATATATGTACCTCTCAAATATATTGTCCGATTTTATGTAAATTCTGCACTAAACTTCCATGATATGTTCGATTCGATACTGAATTGAGTCTAGAATGACATGTTTTAATTTTCGGTTCAAATCGGTTCATATTTAGAAAGAGTTTCCATATTTAGTTTCGTTCGATTTTATATTAGTATTCACATTGATGTATTCGCAAAGGCTTTAAATGAATTCAAAGTGAATAACGTCCTCGGAAGAGCGTAATAGGGATACGTATTCATGCGAAAAATTCGACTTTTAGATTTTTTGACTAAAAAGTCGACTTTTCGATCTTTCGATTTTGTCAAACCTGTTCAAAATCCTTTTCAACTTTTACCGACAGATGTAAAATGTACTAAAATTTTGAGTTTTTATATAAATTGTTGTAGAGAGATAAAATAAAGTTTTGGAATGTGCAATTTTTGGGCTTGGGATATAAAGAACATCGAAATTTTACCTTGAAAAGTCGACTTTGCGATTTCCTCCAAGATACAAAGTTGACTTCGACTTTTAGTTTCCTATTAAAAGGTCGATTAATTGATTCGTCCAACGTCGATTTACTTATCCCTAGAGCGTAAATTTGACTTCAGGATGTTTCGATCGACTCAGTTTGTATTGGACCCAGATTGGCAAAAATATCTACTCAAATTACTGTGGAACATCTGTTGTCGCAGCCATTGGAAGCCGCATTTCTAAAAATGTATGTTTAAGATAGATAGAATTATGAACAACAATTTATAAAAATTAGTTCTTCCGTGGCCAGTCAAGAGTTTTTCCCATTCAACTCTTGGTAGAGCAACGTTAACAAATAATTGGTTTATGAAAATCACCCACTGTATTATACGTAATATCTGTGCAAAGGAAACAAGTCACTCTATAAGTGGTTAGGATATAGTTACACGAAGTTTGTTTAAAACAATTCTAGCATTCGTAAAAATTCTTTACATTTTAATAATTTATTTTTTTTTTAATTTTTTATATTCCATACACAATTTTTGTAAATATATAAAAATAATAATTGTTCTTCTTCTTTTTCATTTGCAGTGACGCCAATTCGAATAAACATTTGTGTATAATATATACAATGCGTTTGGCAATATTTTTATTAATATTTTGCATATTCGAATATGCTGTTGGAGTCGATCCAACAAATTTTAAAACATGTGAACAGAGCAGTTTTTGCAGGTGAGTGAATTGTGATTGATTTTGTATAAATGAATGCAATTAGAATTATAAATAAAAATAACAAATATAATGCAAACAACATCAGGAACATGAAAGTAAAATCGATTTTAAATAGCAGAGAGTGCCGAATAAAAATTAGATAAGTACGGATTGGTTTGAACATATTTCACATTTTTTCAATTTAAGATTAAGTCTTATATTTGAAGTCTTGGTATTTCCTATTTGAAAATTATATCCTAATTTGATGTTTATTTTTTTTATAATTGCTCTGTTCCAGAACCTATCACTTTCAATTGATCGAAATTTTTTCGATTTCCTCTTTTGTAAAAAGTCTTAACACTTTTTGTGTACGAGAAAATAAATGCTTTCATTCTTTTAAATATAGCATGAACTTTATTAGACAATTAAATATGTAAAACAATATTTCTTTTCTTATTTTTTAACAGGCGTAGCCGTAAAATCCAACCTGGAAATTCCAAATTTGCCTTGGTACCCGGTTCCATGAACACATATTCTAATTCAATAACTGTAGACCTCATCAACAAAGAAACACAACATTTGTATATTTTGAAATTGGAAGCTTTGGTGGTGAGTTTCAAATAGTTCGAAAAGAATAACATAATTTGAATTTTCTCCCTTTTTTCCAGAATAACAAATTCCGTCTATTAATTGATGAGAAGACGCCCTTGAAGCCCAGATATAAAGTTGAACATGTTTTAATTGGAGAACCACAAACCGAACCGTAAGTTTTATAAAAGAACTACTTCTTATACAAGCATGAAAAGAAGCTACAGACTCATTGCATACCACATCATATAAACACGTAGCTCTAAAGACCTTTTAAAAGTCTTTTAAAAAATCCACTTTAACGTACAGAAAAGGCAGAGCATATATATGGAGGCAAAGTCAAAACACAAGGTTCTGTAATGAAAAGGTTTTGCGATATAACTTTTGAAAGCCATAAATCCAAACTTCGATTGGAAATTTTTTCTAGAACAATGAAAATAGAAGAAATAGGGCAAGGCCTTTATGTGAAAATGGCATATTGTTTTCATAAAAAATAACCTGAAATGCCAAATTACAGCTAATTACACAAATTCGCTGTGAAAATCATTGCAAAAGTTCGGATGAAAGATGAAAGATCATATGACTTAATTTTTTTCTACAAATCCACGCCTATAGATTTGAGGATTGTTGAAAAGGGTCAGAAGACCTTTAAAACTCTTCGAAAGCCCTTTAAATGTTTTCTAAAAATCCACTCTTAACCTCGGAAAACCTTAAAAAATCTTAAAAATGCTCACTTATTACTTTGAAAACCATAAATTCAAGCTAATAGTTCGGAAGACCTTTAAAAAAGTCTCATTAAAAAATCCGCGCTTCTAGTTCGAAAGACCTGTAAAAACCCACACACATAGCTCTGAAGTCCTTTAAAAATCTTCACAATTATAAAAAAGACCTGAATATTATCTCTTTAAAAAATATTTTAAAAGACCTGTAAAAACCCGAGGTTAATTCGTTGATCTTTGACGAATTTTGAAAAAAAACTTCTGAAGAAATCACACTTATAACTTTAAAGACATATTAGAAAATCTTATAAAAATGTGAAGATTAATAGCTCTGAAAAAAAGATTGTAAAAATTCACTCATTTTGCTCAGAAGGCCTTTAAAAATGCACAATTCCGAAACATTTTTGAAAAAATCTTATACAAATTCAATTTTTATTCTTCATTTCCATCAAAAGTTTCATTTTTTCATTTTTTTCCCTAATCTTGTTATTCCGTCTAAAAAAATCATTTCCTTACAGACTTGTCGTTGAGAATGAAGACAAAACGGAAATTGTTTTAACATCGGGTGCAAATAAAGCTGTCATTGTTGCCGATCCCTTCCGTGTTGATTTCTATGAAAATGGCGCTTTGGTTGTATCGGCCAATGCCAAGGGTCTGATGAATTTCGAACATATACGCAATAAACCACAAACTAATCCCGATGGCAGTCAAAACGGAGAAGAAGGTGGTGAGGCGGTTGCTGCACCTCAAACACCCGAAGACAGTGATCCCGGTGCATGGGAAGAAAACTTTAAATCACATCATGATTCGAAACCAAATGGCCCTGAAGCTATTGCCTTAGATTTTTCATTCCCTGAGGCTGATGTTCTGTTTGGCATCCCTGAACATGCTGATAGTTTTATTTTGAAATCTACCTCGGGTACAGACCCCTATCGTCTATACAACTTGGATGTCTTTGAGTATATTATTGATAGTAAAATGGCTTTGTACGGTTCGGTGCCGGTTCTCTATGGCCATGGCGCACAACATACGGCTGGTGTTTTCTGGCAAAATGCCGCCGAAACATGGGTGGATATTTATTTAACGGAACAAAATGTTGTGTCGTCAATTGTTAAATTGGTATCCGGGTCACGTAAAGTGGATCCTCCAGCAGCCAATTTTATTTCGGAATCGGGTATTATTGATGCTTTTATTTTATTGGGTCCCACACCGATGGATGCCTTTAAGCAGTACACCTCATTGACGGGTGTTGCCAATTTGCCACAACTTTTCTCTTTGGCCTATCATCAGTGCCGTTGGAATTACAACGATGCCAAGGATGTGGAAACGGTATCAACGAAATTCGATGAATATGATATACCCATGGATATTATGTGGTTGGATATTGAATATACCGATGGCAAGAAATATTTCACCTGGGATCAATTTAAATTCCCCGATCCCTTGAGCATGATTAAAAATCTTACCGATGTGGGAAGACATTTAGTGGTTATCATTGATCCGCATATTAAACGTGATAATGGTTATTTCTTCCACAATGATTGTACCGAGAAGGGTTATTACACGAAGACAAGTGATGGCAAAGATTATGAAGGCTGGTGTTGGCCGGGTTCGGCAAGTTATCCTGATTTCTTCCGTCAAGATGTGCGCGATTATTATTCAGATCAATATCTGTTGTCGAATTTCAAGACGGTCACCTCGGATGTTATGATTTGGAATGATATGAATGAACCTTCTGTGTTTAATGGACCTGAGGTTACAATGCCCAAGGATTTGATACATCATGGTGGCTGGGAACATCGTGATGTGCACAATTTGTATGGTCATATGCATATTATGGGTACCTATGAGGGTTTATTGAGACGTGATCCCAACCAGAGACCTTTCATCTTGACTCGTGCGCATTTTGCTGGCTCTCAACGTTATGCTGCCATTTGGACTGGTGACAATATGGCCGATTGGGGTCATTTGCAACATTCAATTAAAATGTGTCTATCAGAAGCTGTGGCAGGTTTGTCCTTCTGTGGTGCTGATGTTGGTGGTTTCTTTGGCAACCCGGATGCTGAATTGTTTGAACGTTGGTATCAAACTGGTGCCTTCTTGCCATTCTTCCGTTCACATGCCCACATTGATACGAAACGTCGTGAACCATGGTTATTCCCTGAGAAGACACGCCTTATCATTCGAGATGCCATCCGCAAGAGATATTCCTATTTGCCATTGTGGTATACAATGTTCTATGAACATGAAATGGATGGTAGTCCGGTTATACGTCCCTTGTTGGCTCATTATCCCAAAGATAAGGATGGTTTTGCTATTGATAATCAGTTCTTGTTGCAAGATCGCATCTTGGTTAGACCTGTTATGCAGCATGGTGTTAGCAAAGTGGATGTCTACTTCCCGGCACTGGATGAAAAGAAGACGGTCGGAGATGTTTGGTATGATACTGATACTTATCAGAAATATGAACGTGTTGGCAAGGAAACAATACAAGTTAATGAATATAAGGTAAGAGGAAGAATAATACAAATTTGAAATGGGTTGATAATATTGATACATTTGTTTGCTTTGCTTCCAGATCCCCGTATTCCAACGTGGCGGCTCCATTGTACCCAAAAAGGAACGCATACGCCGTTCTTCACCTCTAATGAAGAATGATCCCTACACATTGATTGTGTGCCTGGATCGTAATGGCAAGGCTGAAGGTACCCTTTATTTGGATGATGAGAAATCCTTTGATTATCGCCAAGGCAAATTTATCTACATCAACTATAAGTTTGAGAACAACAAGTTGACCAACAACTTTGTTAAACCACCAAATTATGATTCAAAATCATGGATTGAACGTATTGTCATTGCCGGTTTGGAACGTCAACCAAAATCTGCTACCATCAACATTAATGGTGTCACCGAACAGCTAGAAATTATTGCCCATGAAAAGGCCTATGCCGTACGCAAACCTGGTGTAGCAATACATAAAGATTTTGAAATTAAACTTAACTATTAGATTAATAAATAAATTAGTACATATTCTTCACATAGTTGTTGGCATTTGTTTTGAACAAATGTTAAACGAAAAAAGGAAAGAAATAAAAAAATCACATCCCGCCCTCTAACGACCTTATTATATGTTGTGCTGCTAAAGACATTATTCTTTGAAATTCCAATTTTATATTTTAAAATTTTATTTTTATAATTATTTAATTTTATGAAAACTGTATTTTTTTGGAATGTATTAAAAAACATCAACGCAACAATATAGAATTTTAATTCATCTCTTCAAAACATCAATTCAACAAGTGTTTTAATTTTCTCTCTCCGCTAATATTACCACACATCAACTTCTTTGAAGTGCCCTTGTTGTTGTTTTCGTTTTTTAGGGGGTTCATTTTTAGAATGAACCAACTCGGAAAACCGCAGACTCATAATAAGGCACACCCCTCCAATGGATGGATTTGTATAATAACAATGTTACAGTTTTTATTGGTAATATTCCCGTTTGTTTTTGCTGATGGTTGGGAGGCAATGTCTTCTTTGATGGGTGGTTTCAGTCCATTTCATTATTTATGAGAATTTGTGGGTGCTTTTCAACTACAACAACAAGGGCAGCTGTTGTTAAAAGTTACATTAAAGTTTCCCAGAGTATGACATGCGCAGTTGTTCAGAAAAAGTTTATCCGCTTTTTTAGGATTAATATCTCGAAGAGTTCAATTGAAGGAGAGCCGGAGATGATTAGATACCCTTGTGGTAGTAGGATGTATGTTGCGGAAATTAGATAAGCATTTTTAAAGGAATTTGATAGGCGTGGATTTTTAAAGAATATTTTTTCAAGGACTAATAACAAGCAGGGATTTTTAAAATAATATTTTTTGAAAGACCAACACAAGGCGTGGCTTTTTTAAAGATTATTTTTTCAATGGCCATAACAGGCGTGGATTTTTTAAAGATTATTTTTTTGGGACCATAACAGGCGTGGATTTTTTAAAGATTTTTTTAGGCGTGGATTTTTTAAAGATTTTTTTCAGGGACCATAACAGGCGTGGAATTTTTAAAGATTTTTTTCAGGGACCATAACAGGCGTGGATTTTTTAAAGATTTTTTCAAGGACCAACTCAAGGCGTGGACATTTTTTTTCAAGGATTTAAAACAGACGTGGATATTTTTTCAAGGATTTAAAAAAGGCGTGGCTATTTTTTTCAAGGATTTAAAACAGGCGTGGATATTTTTTTCAAGGATTTAAAAAAGGCGTGGATATTTTTTCAAGGATTTAAAACAGGCGCGGTTTTTTTTAAAATATTTTTTCAATATCCTTGGATACCAAGCAACGGCTATGATTGGCTTTAACATGGCGAAGTCCAGTCTTATCTTGGTCCCTCTTTCATCTCAATTGTGGACACTGACCTCCCCGCGGTGTCACCTGGACTACAATCTTCGAATCTGCACTTGGAATGTGCGCAACTTGTACAGAACAGGCGCAGTTTTCGCTTTGGCGGATGTACTCAAGGGACTGGCGTAAGTAAATCAGATGATTACGCCCTGTATTATAACTGTCATGAAACGAGACGTGATTTTGGCTGCGGATTTATGGTTAACAGGAGAATAAAAGATCTCGTCTTCAGATTCACTCCAGTAGATGATCGAATTGCTATAATTCGAATAAAAGCGAAGTTCTTCTACATCAGCCTTATTTGCGCTCATGCTTCGACCGAAGACAAAGATGAGAAGACCAATGACATTAAAATTCTGCTAGGAGATTTTAATGCAAAAATTGGAAGGGAAAATATCGTTGGCCCCATCGTCGGAAAATTCAGCTTGCATGAAGAAACATCCGACAACGGCCTGAGGTTGATTAACTTCGTGGCAGCAAAAAACATGGTAGTTAGCAGCACCAGATTTAAGCATCTCGATATACACAAGGCCATCTGGATTTCTCCTGATCAAGCAACGAAAAATCTAATTGATCATATTGTGATAGACGGAATGCATTCCGCCAAGAAACCCATGGTACGATCAGGAGTGTCGTAATGCTACTGAAAAACGCAGTGTATAGGGCAACCCTGCAGACAGTAGCAACACGTAATGTGATGGAGAAATATCGGGAGAAAAGGAGAAATGTGTTTTCAGAATATAGAAGAAAGAACAAGAAAAACGTGACCGTGAGCAAATCGAGATGTACAGGAGTCAGAATGAAGTCCCGAAATTTTACCAACGAGTAAAGCACCAAACCGAAGGTGCAGGCACATCCTCCTATAGAGACGAAGAAGGAAACCTGGTGGCAGATACAGACAGCGTGTTGAGGATCGAGAAGGAGCTTTTTGAAAAGCTTCTGGTGTCAAATAGTGGCGTTGAAGAAGATACCCCAGAACCAATCAGAGATGTTGGTATAAAGTGTATACCACCTAGCCAAAATGAGGTCATAAAAACAATTAATCGGCTCAAGAACAATAAAGCAGCAGGAGCCGACGGGTTACCAGCCGAACTATTCAAGACTGGTGGTCAGATGCTGGTCAGGAGCATGCACCAGTTGATTAGTACAATTTGGCTAGAGGAACGCATGCCCAATGATTGGAACCTCGGGATCCTGTGCCCCGTGCACAAAAAGCAGACAAGACGATATGTGCCAACCAAGGAGGAATTAGTCTTCTTCCCATCGCATATAAAATTATATCTAGCGTGCTGAGTGAACGACTGAAGCCAATGGTCAATGACATCATTAGGACATACCAATGCGGCTTCAGGCCTGGCAAATCCACCATTGACCAGATTTTCACTCTGGAAAAGACCCAAAACAAATCAACACATACCACCTATTCGTCGATTATAAAGCCGCATTCGACAGCCCTATCCGTTAAGAGGTGTTTAAAGCCATGTCTACGTTCGGCATTCCTGCAAAATAAATACGGCTATGCAGGATAACTTTAAATGGCACAAGGTCAGCAGTTAAATTCGGAAAGGACCTATCGGAGCCCTTCAATACCGAAGGAGGATTTAGACATGGTGACAGTTTGTCGTGTGATCTTTTTAACAGTCGTATTGAGCTGCAGCGACTACGATGGCTAGGCCATCGAATGAATGAGAATGTCCCAGCTTAAAATGCCTATAAAGCGAGCCTACTGATGGTTCCCGTAGATGGGGAAGGCCACGAATCAGATGGAAAGACCAAGTAGAAAACAACATCTTGAAACGTGGTCTTTCAAATTGCAGGAGATGCGCACAAGACCGACGCGCTTGGAAATCTTTTTTAAGGTCAGCTTATGGAACTACCGTTTTGTAACAAGCCAGCTAAGGAAGTAATTTTTTCAAGGATTTAAAACAGGCGTGGATTTTTTAAAGAATATTTACCGCACCTTTCTCGTCCATCTATCACAATTTCCTTAGAAGTTCCTTCCATTAAGCCTTATAATTGTGCATTAATGTTCTATTCTTTAGAAATCAATTATATTGATAATGGAAATTATATCAATATTCACTCACCCCTTGCCAAATATTACCACCTTGATAATTGATTTTAAAACAATGAATATATTGAAAATAATACCATTAGACTCACCTTTTGTGCCAGCCACCGTGGCTGGCGGCTGGGTGGCTGACTGCCTAATGTCATTAGAAATACATTAATAATTTTTGTCTATAAAAATTAACATTAATTATAATGGCTCACCCATGATGATGACGACGATGTGATACTATTATATTGAAATTATATTATATTACAAAAATTTACACATCTATATGTGTGTGTGGGTGTACGTGTGGTTGTGTGCAATTTAGTGCATTTGTGTTGTTGCTGCTGCTGTGTGTAGTTTTTGATTCAGCAAAAATGTATGTTTTTGGCTTAATTATTATGTGGCATTGTTGGTTATTTTCAATTAAATTTCCATTAAGCAATAAATATGGAAACCAACAATACCAATGACAAAAACAACAGCAGCAGCAACAACAACACCAATAAAATATACATATACTATAACCACTACTAATAGTAGTAGTATTAGTTGTTGTTGTATGGCAACTAAACACAACAACAATTATAATAACAACAACACTATTGCTATCACTAATAGTTTTCATCATTCATTTATACATCGGTGCCGTTTGGGTGTGTGTGTGTGTGTGGATGTGGGTGCGTTTGGTTGGCGGTGAGATGAAGTTGAAAAGAAAGTTAATGACAGTTGGTTTTGAACACGGTTATATGATGTGGGTGTGTTTGATGTGATATATTTTTATATGAGAGAATATCATCAAACAAACATATGGGATGCAGTATAGCATTCATGTTAATGTGATGTGTGAAAATGAAAATGATCCTTTTTAGTTTTTCTAACAGCAGGTTCCTGCGGGAATGTATATTGGGTCGTAACAGAAAGATGAATCTGAAAAATATCAATTTAACGTCTAGGGAGCTATTGGTCCTTGTGAAAAATATTCATTTAAAAATCCAGGCCTAAGGAGCTGTTGGTCCTTGTGAAAAATATTAATTTAAAAATCCACGCCTAGGGAGCTGTTGGTCCTTGTGAAAAATATTAATTTAAAAATCCACGCCTAGGGAGCTATTGGTCCTTGTGAAAAATATTAATTTAAAAATCCACGCATAGGGAGCTGTTGGTCCTTGTGAAAAATATTAATTTAAAAATCCACGCCTAGGGAGCTGTTGGTCCTTGTGAAAAATATTAATTTAAAAATCCACGCCTAGGGAGCTATTGGTCCTTGTGAAAAATATTAATTTAAAAATCCACGCCTAGGGAGCTATTGGTCCTTGTGAAAAATATTAATTTAAAAATCCACGCCTAGGGAGCTATTGGTCCTTGTGAAAAATATTAATTTAAAAATCCACGCCTAGGGAGCTATTGGTCCTTGTGAAAAATATTAATTTAAAAATCCACGCCTAGGGAGCTGTTGGTCCTTGTGAAAAATATTAATTTATAAATCCACGCCTAGGGAGCTGTTGGTCCTTGTGAAAAATATTCATTTAAAAATCCACGCCTAGGGAGCTATTGGTCCTTGTGAAAAATATTAA